TTCCTTTACTGTATTCCTCTCTACGTCTCCCAAAGTGTTGCCAACTCCCAATCCATTCCGCAAAGAGCTTTTTAAACAAAATCGATAGTTATCAATGCCGCCGTCGAACCATCTATTGTTACGTAAAATATTTTCAAAACATTCTAAAGCTTATCGGAGAAGCCAAGTCAGCAGATTGGAACGAATGTTTTTACTACAATATTGATGCTGTAGAAATTCGTGAACTTTAAACAAACAATACTTACGCTAAGCTAGTTTTCGGTACCATTCAAATGTATTATTTTCCAGTCTAGCGAGCAGAGTGGCCTAATAATAAAAAACATGATTTTCAATAAGGATGAAAATAAAAATGCACAATTAAGGAATTAAATTAGGCAAAAATGAATTTGTACGATTATTTGTGTAAGAATTATTTTAACAATTTATGGTCATTGTGATCGTGTAGATTAACATTTTTAGACGATGAAAATATATATAACTCAAGTTACAAATTGCAGGTAGGCTACTCTGCCTCTAAAGGCATGAACATATTTACATATTACTCTTCAATTTGGAAGCATACCCCAGAAATAAAAAACAATGATATATTATTAAACGATTAGTTTTGCTAGACGTCTTATTAAAGGTAATATTTAAAATACTTTAGTCTCAGTAATAAAAATATAATATTGTCCTTATTTAGTGCATGATAAATAATTCTCGATAACATCTGACTGACAAATGAAGACTGACTCTTCGCTTAGTCAAGGAAACCAACCAAACCGTTTTTCAATTACTAAAAGGTTTTTATATATCGCTTTTTAAACCGTTAAACATTTTATTTCAAGTATTCAACATTTTTGATATACACATTGAGCGGACGTTTTTTATCGATCGTATATTTTTAGCGGCGCTTCCTTCAACATATTCTTCCTTGCACACCTTATATGGTGACATTTATGTTTCCGTGTTTTGTCTCAATTAATTGTTTTTATCATAGCTGTCACGTGAAATCGGTTAACGGATAATAAAAACGGAAAATCAGCTGAATGTGACAAGCAAACATCAGAGAAGCTGAGTCTGATGCCATTTCCTTTTAATTTTTTCTTTTTCTATGTATTATTATACCTAAATAATTAGCATACTAAGGTATAGAAAATGTTTATATTGAAAAATCCTCTAAGCCCCTTAAGTACTGTAACAGCTGTACTAAAAACTGGCTATGGCAACACACATTTAGGCAGCATGGTAGCTTAGGGCCTACTTTAAAAAATACGTCATTAACTGGATACACTTAAAACCGTCAATACGTCTCGGTCCTAGCCGTGGAACTACGGTAAAGCAAATTATAATTGTAACGTTTATATTAAAATCAGCTAGCAAGAACATCGCAAGATTTTCCTTAAAATTACGCCATGTTTTCCTTTGCATAGTGTAATAAGTTTTTACCGGCAAACAAGATACGATGAATAATTCTCTTTTGCAAAAGCTAAATGACTATTTTAAAATTCAAATGGTATGGTATCATTGGGACAGCTTTATGTTCTTGGTTTAGATGTAGGTTTTTATTGGACGGTATTTATTGAGCAAAAAGGTTCTATTGATGAGTTAATAGAAATCCTTCGACCGATACTCTATTTATTATCAGATGGAATCGAATCTTTTTACGATAAAAGTGGACAGACAAGCTTGGGATCTATATAACATCTAAGCAAGATGCGCTATTGATATATTTTTGCTTTAGATAATCGTAAAAACACAATAAATTCGTAGCGAGAATAAACTTTCAAGTCATTTTCATCTATGTATGGTAGTTCATGACCTAGATGGAATTTTGATATTCGATTCTACTACCTTTTTAATATACAGATTTCCAGACGATGTCCATTATGTTTGAGAAAAATTCCAAATTCAATAGAAAGATCTTGGACCCGGTGGGGACCGAACCCACGACCACCTTTGATTCACCATACATTAAGGCCACTAAAGTAGTAAGTTTTTGTATAATCTAATAAATATGCATTGATCTTACTGTACGTAAACATTGTTTAAGCCGCAAAACTGAAACCTGATCAACCATCAGATCCCTACAGTTTCGAACAACATGGCCGTGTTGGCGTTAATTTACAGCAATAAGTATAAATGTTAAATATTGATCAACGTTGCGTATTGCTAAATTTAAACTTCAATTTATTACCATTAATTTATAACACAGCTCATTTTGAAACCAACATCTTACATGTGGCAAATATATTAAGCATCATTATTTATTTCAATCCCTTGCAGCTTAGTGATAAATTACTTCGCGTGGACAGCCCTAATCCGCCCTACGCCTAGTACTGGTTTACAAACGCATAGGGCTGCCATGTGGAGAGACATCTTTTTATAAATTTAATACTGAAGGAACCTGTTTTCTCCTAACCCTATTTCTTCTTCCCCTTCTAAAGGTTACTTTATCAATCAAAGGGCTAATTAAATTAAATGGAAGGAAACTATAGTATGTAATAGACGCCAAGAAATATATCGTAATACTATGTTGAATCCTTGCTGCTTTTCCTTGCTTTATCACTATTTCACTCCAACAAGAAGATATAAACATAATATGTATTTAGTAAGCAAAAATAACTTCTATGGTCAGTATAGAGGTTAAACATGTGTGGATATACATGTTTTAAACGCGACTATTACAATTAAATTTGATTTAAACTACGACCCGACGTTTTGGATGCTTTGGCGGGCTTTATACATATGAGGCAGAGTAGCCTAACTGCAATATTACGACTTGAGTTATTTATATTTTCTATACTATACTACTCTAAAAATGTTAATCTATAAGAGCACAGTAACTGAAAATTATTAACATAATTCCCACACATATAATAGTATACATTTATTTTCGCTTAAGTTAATTGTGCATTTTTATTTTTCTCCTTATTGAAAATTCTGTTTTTTGTTATTAGGCCACTCTGCCTCTGACAGCCTCATATATTGTCATTGGTCACATGTTTTTTTTTATCGTGTCAACCCTAGCATAGGTGAAGGTAACCAGGCACTTCCTGCGAGTCTTCGCGGGTCACGCGATAGGGAGTCATAATTTTTAATTAAGCCGCTAACAGCGTTCGGTTAGCGATGTTTATCGATATGTTTCCCGGGGGGAAACAACTCTCCCATCTAAATCGCAAACTCCAGGACTTCGTTCCTACTCTTTGGATACCTCCTAAGTTATTCGCGCGTTTGTTGGACCAACTTCGACATATCTATGCGCAATTTCCAACTTCGATTTTTAAATTTAATTTTAAGTTAGAAGTTTTGTTAACTTATCGGATCGTGGGAAACTCTAAATCGCTACAATTTTTAACAGTAAGTAGGTAATTCCAAACTTATGGAGCTCCTTTAGATAAAGGCATTCATATTTGCGACTAACTATTTACTATGTACATATTGTAAATGTATTGTATGTAAAAAGTAAGTTTATTAACATAGTATATATGTATATAGAACGTCTGGAAAGCATGATTATTCAAGATTTGTCAATAGTAGGAATATCGACATTTCGTCTGGGTCACAAACCCCCTTCCATAGATAGAAAAGCAGTGTAGTGTAATATTACCGATCCTGTTTCAATATGAAGATTTCTGAATTCAAATTCCAAAATAGGTCAACAACACATCGTGTTTTGAAGTGAACCTCACGCTTGTTTGTCCCCCTCTATCAAAAAAAAGGAGTGAAGAAAAATATGTTGTAATATATATCTAATCTGAATACAACTCAATAAGTAACTGGTAACGGAAATTCATTATTATAAGATTATTCTCCAATTAGTCGCGACTCGCAAGCAGTGTATTTGCGTCCTATGTAAAGTACACTGCGATAACGACATAACAGCGGCATCGTTCAGACAAGAAACGAGTTCTAAGCGCCACTAGAACTGTCATAACGCTATTTTTAGATCACGAAAGAATCTGGAAATAGTAAACAAATAATCCATTAATGTGTCGTTTCAAAACGTTTGCATGCTTCACTGGTGCTAATAGGGTTAAGGCTTTGTACACACGAAGGAGTCCTTAATATTTAATACTGGACGCGTGACACCTACAAAAATAAGTAACAGTTTACCAGAATGGCATGTGTGAAACTTTAAAATTTATATAAGTGCGTACTAGCAATCAATCATTAGCTTATGGCATTCGCGGCCATTTTGTCGTAATTGAGAAATGGTTCTCGACGTTACGCCACGATTGGATGGCGTTAAGTTGTAAATAGTGGTACTTTTGACGTTCAGCTCAAAAAGTAATTACTGTCATGTCTAGGAGTCCGGGAAATTCATATGTTGGTAAAGAATGAATGAGAACCAAGTGGAAAATTAAAAAATATGACGTTTCCCACGGGTGGTTTAGCAAAGCAGGTATATTATATGCGTTATTATGCACGAAAAATCTACGTGTATGCATTCCTAAAACGTGGATTATGTCGTGCATTAGTATGCACACGAAACGAACGCGCGGGTAAATGGAACGCGCCATTGTCGACTCGCCCTTTGTTCCCGCATTCTCCGTCGATGTTGCCATTTACGAGTGCATTTAAGGCTTTAATGCGAAATAATGGCAATTTTGTTGCAAACCAAAACAATATTCTTTCTTTAATATTAGTGGTTACTTAATCTCGCCTAACTAACTTCTCAGTCTAATGACTAGTGGTTAGTGCAGTCTGCAGTTGACGTTATCCCGGTACCTAACCCTGATATTTGGAATTATTCTAAGAAACATTTTAGTACTAGGTAAGTGATAAAAGGTGTCATCATCGTACGTCTAAGAGCACGTTAAGCCGTTGATGAAGGATATCTATACTAATTTAAAGGTAGTAGTTAGTAGAAAAAAAGCCCGTCAAGTCTAAACTGGTCTAAACCGTTTAAGTATGAGATTAAAGCCCTTAGCCTAAAAGTGGGATTGAGAGTACTTAATTTATAGAATACCAAAATACACCTACCTAATTTTAATGGGCTAAATTAAAAAAATACTTACCTATTGTCGTCTTTATATCTAAACATTGCGATATGTGAGGAAACTGCAGGATCTTCCGCCACTTCTTACTCTTGCCCTTATTGCTATCGGAACCACCTGAAAATGGAGACACATAATTAGACTATATAATTTTTCTATTATGATGCGGTTTCAAATTTAACGAAAAAACACGAGTCTACAAACACTGACAAAATTAGGTACTATTTGACGAGGATTTTATAATAATAAAAAGGGTTACATAAATTAGTAGATCAAAAACTATATAATTTAAAAATCGAAAATAAATTATATAGTGCCTTCATGTGCAATAACATGTGAAAAATATTAATGTTTTCAAAGATCAAAAACTGTACCTCCTGTTTCAACCTAAGACGATGTGTAACTAGAAAACTTGAGCAAAAAAAAACCGACTGTTTGTTATCATTTTGTCTCTTATCACCCCATAGATTATTGGAAAAAAAAACAAATATTCCTAACATACCGAATATTTGCGGCAAAATAGTTAATCCCACTTCCGATGCCACAGCTAGATTTCGTCTCGTTGATTATTTTCATTAAGTAATGAATGTTCTGCCTTATTGATACGTAATATGGACGTGTGGAGTCAAAGAAGTTTCATATTTAAAAAATATAAAACCAAACAATCTGTCTACGCGAATAAGAATATGTACTGTATGCAGTACTTATGCGTATGCGCTGTCGTTTGGGTGGGCCAAAGTTGACCGTATCGCATTGCTTTACGTGTCTGATACGTTCATGGTACGTTACGATGTAGTGGCCAGAGGCTTACACGTTAAAGTAATTATCGAAACGAGTTCAATATACTAAACAAAGACAGCCATTGCGCAACGTATATTGACGCAGTGATTACGTAAACACAGCATGATTTATCATTGAAATAAATTTCAATACAAACTGGAACTTAGCCTCTAGCTTGGTGCGACTGTAATCAAAGCATTAGATATTAAGCACAGTCATGGGAAGCAAGACAGTAGACTTACGTCAGTAAAAGTTGCAAATTGTATGTAATTTCTAAGAGATGACTGTGAGTAGTGATAAAGGCCGATTATATATTTGAGACTTGCAGCGCCCTCTGTAGAAGTTGTTGCTACCAGTTACAAGAGTCTAGCACACGACCGAAAAACATGAAAAGGATTTAGTTGCTTTGACTTTACTTTGGTGTGCTCGATGGATATATAGAAAGTGGCATCATCCACCGTTGGTTGAGCACACGAAAAATCCAAACATTTCGAGATATCATTATTGTATACGAGTTTCATATTTTTTATTTTGCAAATAATTGCAGTTAAACAAAAAATACTCTTCTTCTGAGCTAAAATTTATTTTGTATTGCTTAGTTTTGTAGTTAGTGGCAGTATGTGAAATTAAGTTTTTGCAACTTGTTCGCGTAGATTATGCTTATTTTATCATTACATACAGCAAATTTAAACATTGTCCCAATGTACAAAATCAATAAATAACAGTAACTTATTAAATATTGAAAATATCTCTAATAAGCCTCGACGTTTTTATAATGGAAAATATTTAATCGAAGTTTTAAGATCATTTAATATTCGAGCTCGCATAATAGAGTGGGTATCGCGCTACGGGGAATAGGGCGAAATTAATTTTACCCTTTAATTAACGGAGCCAGGCCTCAGGATGTTTTAGCTAATATTCGTCTGAAAGCTTCGTTAGCGTACGCTCAGTTTACATCGGATAATAGGCTGACGGCACATGAAAACTTACCTACCAAATTAAATAGTCCGGTGTTAATTGAGACTATTTTAACTGTTCTCAGCGACATCTGCAGCACCACAGCGCTGGGACATGACTAACAGTTGAAATAAAAATATATAATCGCTCTTTTATATGCTTGTAATGGTTACTTGATAAAATAATTTAAAACAAAAAATAACAGACTATAAAGAGTAAATCAAAAAGATTTTTTTTATACTTTTTAAAAAGTTATAGGCATTTCTATTTAGTTAAATATAAATGATGGAACCCCCACACTCCCCCCGCCACTTGATGTGGCCAGGCAGGGGCCTGAGAAAGAGTCGATTCGAATCGAAAAAAAAATAAAAAAATATATTTATATAATACCATTCTGCAGCCGAGTGAAATTGAAAGTGAGTTTTAATTTTGTATATATGTATATATACAAGTATACTATCAATGGTCCTAAAAACTGTCATATTCAACAATTTTCTAAAAAATGTTTTCATTTACTAGTACTTTAGAAGTATGTATAATATGCCTGGACAAACATAAAAAGCATAGATACATACAAATCAAATTGATAATTTAAATTAATGTTAATTAGTATCTGGTAAGAAGGTAGTGGTGGAACCAGCAGATGAAAATAGGATACTTCTCGTGATCTTTGCATGTGTTTCTCTATATTCCATATGATTCAAAGATATATAAATAAAACACTTTTATGGTTTAAAACGCGATATCTTTTAGTTAAACGGGTTTGAAAATTATTTTTTATTACGGCCCGACGTTTCGGATGCTTTGCAGCAGCTGTCGTCACGGGGTCCCCCCGTCGGGTCGCGTTTTAATCCGTTAAAGTATTTTATTTAAATGTGCACTGCTCGCGTAAACTACAGAAAATTCATATAAATATGTTGTTGAAAATCTTAAGTCATATAATTTGTGAAATATTAGAAAGAATATGTCTTTTCTGTTGATGCTCACAATTGTGTCATTATATGAAGCATAAAACTTTTGTTTCTTTAATATGCATTTCCAGTGAAAAAATATAACAGTCCTTTAAAAACATAACATAAACAACAGTTTACAGTCACTTAGGTAGAGAGTATTAAATATGTTTATTATTGAAACCTTCAAAGCAGATCATGTGGGTAAATCTTATGACACATAAATGTGTGATATAAAATTTAAAATGGTTCTTAATAGAACAGATACACACTTTTAATTTTATTTTAAAATGGCCAAGATTTTTGAAATCACAAACAATCTAAGAGAAAATACTACTGTTTTTGTATCTATGCCAAATGTCAATGACCTTTTTCCCTGACCAATTGGAAATTATTTTTTTATTCAGGTCAAAATTAACACCTGTTTAAGTGTTCGATAATGCAATGCAAATGCAAAATGCGCAAAAAAAAATTGTTTTGCAAATAATAAGCTATTAAAGCAATTATTGTAAATTATAAAATTAAAATGGGTAAGATTGTATATAATTCACTAATTTTATTTCTTTTAAGCACAGAATTTTGAGTGGAATCTCTAAAGAGACTGATAAATAATATTAATTAATTATTTTTATAACTTTATTTCAAAATAGTCCCCAATTTTTAACACTTACTAGAAACAAATATACGACTTACAAAGATTGCCGTATATGTAAACTAACATACAACAAGTCTATTTAAGGAAATCCATAAGAAGATTTTCTTCATGGAAAGTGTTTTTAATTAAATATGTGTGGTATACTACACAGTGTGTTGAGTACTCAAATTGTAGCCCACCCTATTATGATCCAGAACATAGGTTGGACATAAAAGTTAATTACATTTCACTGTTAATTACCCGACACAGTCAAAACAAAACAATGTTATCTATGAGGCAAATACTATATGCATGAGTTAACGTTTCGGTCAACGTATCAAGATAACACCTAACATTAACGTAATTTAACTGATTACTATGTTTAAACGCGGTTATACTGTCCAACAGGGCATTGCACTACCTTGCTTACCGCGTAAACAAAATATTTTGCATATAACATGCACGCTCATGAATTATTCCCGTTAATTTTACTACGTCGTTACGTACGTACCCTCTCTCGCTTTCAAGTAGACAGTGTTGGCTACAATATTTTCTAATTCCATCAGTTCCAGTGTGGCGGATTATATCGTAGACCCTCCAGGAAGCTGTTATCCGCCGTTGCGGCCGAGCTGCCGCCGTCGTCGCGTGCGAAATGCCGCCCATCAATGAACAACAAGAGATCACACACAGAACTCAACACTACACAACATTAGCTTTCGTCAGCTATTTATTAACCGCACATATGTATCGCGCACGATTTACAACCCTTAGGACGCGACCTGACGATCTTTCACAGGGGTGTGACGGCCTACAGAGGATCGCTACTAAATTACTTTAAAACAGCTTCATAAAAATGATTTAGTGAATGGAAGCAGGTAGGTTAGCCGGTGGGTTTCTTTTACTCTAGAATGAAGAACGCGATAGCGATCACATTAGAAATCAACGACGACTCTAAATACGCTACACAAAATACCACAAATCACAATTCATAATTTCGTAAATCGTCGCCCGTAAAATACTGTGGCCAACACTTACCAGTTGCCACCACAGATAACACTGTTGCCATTTTAAACGATTGCCTATCTGAGTAAAACAGACTGAACAAATATCCTAGGGGATACAAATAGTTTTAATCACTTCGTTTGTACCACAGATAAAATTTTAAATATTCGCAGAACTTATGTGACCTACCAAAACCTTGCCGAGAGTTCATGGTGGTTATAATTTATACTATTAATATAATGAATATTGATAAGAAAACTAGACACTTAGCGTAACAAGGCTTTACGGCAATATGCAATAATAGAGTGACAGTTTTTAGCTCAATTGTTGCAGTGACAGTTATGTCATTTTTATTTTTTCGCGCGTGAAATAAATATTGAAAACCTGACCTAACCTCAACACGACTAAGATGTATTAAAATAATAATAAGCAAATAATATTTTATTCATGTGATAACATTGTTTTCTTTTATAAAATTAGACATAATGAGTTCGAATCGTTGCAATGTGTGCGGTGGCCCAGACATGAATCTAGTAGACGGCTTTTACTACTGCGTTGAATGTGGTACTCAAAATGAAAATATTCAAGAGCACATCGTGGACAATATTGTTTTGGGGGACGGCACAATGGTCAAATTTAAAACGAAAAAAATTCGAAAGGAAAAGGAAGACGTAGAGAGTATGTTTTTCGTACCTAACCTAAAAATATTTTCAGAAACACCAAAGTAACAAAGACACAGCTCTGAAAATTCTGACATTTATCACATTTATTACTTAATATGCATCATATCCATTGATAGAAGAACTAATATACCAAGTATTAAATTATTTCCAGTGAGTCCTGAATGGTACAAATGGCATGCTTTCAACTACATTATTTCGGGTCTGACAGATGAATTAATTACTGCTGGTGCAGAGCCTACAGTGAGAAGTAAAATACTTTGGATATGGATTAGATATGTAAAAAAGTTTCAAGTAAAAAGCATGGGGTAAGTTATTCTCAGTTATTTATCATTACTCTGATTAATTATCTGTCTTAATTCAAAACTAATGGCTGTAAATCGTGGTTGTCAATGCTGTTTTATTGTGTGTCAGACATCTGAATATGTAAAAAAAATTGTTACAGACATATAAGTTTGTTCCACGCTGACAGTGATAAGGAGAATGTGGAATCGGCAACACATGATACAAATAAAAATACAGATGAAAGCTCTAGAGACAGAATTTCTTTTGAGGAAGATGAACACAAGCTACACAGTGATGTGCGGAAAAGTTGCAAAACTATGTATGCAAATGAGAATTGTGATGATGTTTCAGATAGTGATGAAGAAATTTTTGGTGAATTAAATAGTGATGATGATTGTAGCAGTGATGAGGAATGCAACACAATTGTAAATAAAAGAAAAAGAAGATTTGAACATTTTGTTAGCATAGATCCTATAACAAAGGGTGTTATTATTAGTATTTTAAAT